TTACTTATTAAGCTATAGGAAACCACCAAAGATGTTTGAGCAAAAGAAAGATAAAACCAGGTCTGTGCAAAAGAAGAATCATTCTGGCAGAAGTGTTATGGGTAGATTGAAGTGTGGGAAGAATGATGTCTTGAAGACCTTTCAGAAGGCTCCTGCAGTCGCCCAGGAAGGTAATAATGAAGGCTTAGACAAGAGTGGCAGCAATGGAAAGAGAGAGGAGGGAGATAGGTGCAAGAGCTACCCTAGAGGCTATTTCAAGAGTGCTTGGTAATTGATTGGACACAAGGTATGAAGAAGGAAGAGTCACATGTAACCTCAAGGTTGGGGACAGAAGAGCCAAGGGGAATATTAGGGCCATGGACAAAAACACAAAGTCAGAAGATAAAGATAATTTTAGGGGGAAATAATAAGCTTGGTTTTGGTTACACTGTGTTTGAGGTCCCACAGGGATACCCAGGTAGAAGTTTCTTGTGGAGAGCTAGAAATATAGTTCTGGAGTTCAGAAAAGGGGAGAGGACTCAAGGGGTGTGTGTCTGTCTGTCTGTGTGTCCACGTGTTTGTATGCAAGACAAAGAAACAGAGACACAGACACGGTGTTGGGGAGAGAGAGACAGAAAGAGACAGAAAGAGAGAGAGAGAGAGAGAGAGAGAGAGAGAGAGAGAGAGAGAGAGAGAGAGAGGGAGGGAGGGAGGGAGGGAGAAGGAGAGGGAAAGAGAGAGAAAGAGAGAGAGAGAGGAAGAGGGAGAGGGAGAGGGAGAGGGAAAGAGAGAGATGGGGGAGAAGAGAGGAGACAGACAGAGACAGAAAGAGGAGAGGGGAAGGGAGGAAGAGAGAGAGAGAGAGAGAGAGAGAGAGAGAGAGAGAAGAGAGAGAGAGAGAGAGAACAGAAGAGAAAGACAGAGAGAAAGGGGGAGCAATGGTTTTAGAAGCTCAGGGACAAATGAGAATATCTAAGAACAGGCCCTTGAGAGATACCCACATCAGGAGTGGGGTGGGAGGAGGGAGGATGGTAAAAGATGAGGAGCAAAGTGAATGAGTTGGAAGAGTAAGTTCAGAGGTTTAAGGAGGAGCAGGGAAGTGTTCTCAGAAGCCAAGGGCACAGAGAGTTTAGAAGCAGAAAGGTGAGCAGCAACCTCTTTGAAAGATCTCAGAGAATAAAGACAAAAACAAAGACACCTCATTTAGCGATGAGGAAGTGACTAATGTTCTTTGATAGAGAAGGTTAAGGAGTTAGGTACAGCTGAGCTTGGAACTCAGGAAGCCAAATCAGTTTCATGACCAGGCAGATCCAGGAGGTTTAGGAGGTCATGGGCATTCTGGTGTCAGGGAAGTTTTAGGACATGGTACTTTAGTACATAGGGACTAGGCCAAAGAAATCATTGCTGTAAGGAATTCCCTCTACCAATGTAAGTTGCCACGTTCTCTGTAACTTATAGTCCAGAATCAAAATGTCCAGGTCACTGAAAGGCCACCGAGTCAGTATGTGTGCAGTTCCTCGTAGCTCCCAGCAGGTGTCTCCAAGAGATGCTCTAACTCATTCTTCAGCTCCAAAGGGGGAGGAGGAGAGGAACTAAGGGGAGAGGTAAAAGGTGTGTCTTTCTTTCCATCTTTGGCCCCCCAAAAAGTATGTAAAACCTTGGTGTTAGCAAACCTTCCTCTGTTCTTGGGCAGGGTCATCACTGGTGGGAATATCTGCCATCTGTCTGATGGGAAATAGTTCTCCCACGACTACAGAGACTTGGACGTGGACATTTTGACAGGAAGTGGATCAAGCAGCAGTTTTCTGGAGGAAGGGGCTTTGGGACAGATGGGTGCATTCTGGTCCCTTGTTATCCAAGGGAGCTTTGGCAAAGTCAGGATGCTGAATCCTTTGACCTGCCCTTGTCTATTCTCTCCAAAGAGCCTTAACTACTTCTGACCACAAGGTGGCACCCAAGTCCCAGGAACAGGGATGGTAGGCTTCTATTTGGAAAAACCAACTGCCTTCCAGGTGTGGGGAGGAAAGCACTGGGGTGAAGAAATGCATGTGCTCACAGCCCAGCAGATCTGAACCCAGGCCCCAGCACATCATCAGCTCCCCATCTGCACTGCAGGGGCCAAAGAATGAGTAGGCCCCACCCTGTAGACTCAACAAGCTTACTACACCTGTCAGAGTTAAACAAGAGCTTAGGACAGAGAATATCAGAGCTGGGAGGGCCCTTAGAACACAGGATGTCAGGGCTGAGATGGCCCTTAGAACACAGGATGTCAGAGCTGGGAGGGCCCTTAGGACACAGGCTGTCAGAGGGTCCTTAGAACCCAGAGTGTCTGAGCTGGGAGGGGCCTTAGAACCCAGAGTGCCAGAGCTGAGAGGGCCCTTAGAACACAGGATGTTTAAAAAAAAACTAGAAAGGACTTCAAACACAGAATGACAGGGCCAGGAGAGCCCTTAGAACACAAGTCAGAGCTGGGAAGGGCCTTAGAACAGAGAATGTCAGAGCTGGGAGGGCCCTTAGAGCACAGGATGTCAGAGCTGGGAGGGCCCTTAGAGCACAGGATGTCAAGAGCTGGAAGGGCCCTTAGAACCCAGAATGTCAGAGCTGGGAGGGCCCTTAGAACCCAGAATGTCAGAGCTTGGAGGGCCCTTAGAGCACAGGATGTCAGAGCTGGGAGGGCCCTTAGAACCCAGAATGTCAGAGCTGGGAGGGCCCTTAGAGCACAGGATGTCAAGAGCTGGAAGGGCCCTTAGAACCCAGAATGTCAGAGCTGGGAGGGCCCTTAGAACCCAGAATGTCAGAGCTGGGAGGGCCCTTAGAACCCAGAGTGTCAGAGTTGGGAAGGCCCTTAGAGCACAGGATGTCAAGAGCTGGGAGGGCCCTTGAAAATCCAATCCATCTTTCACAATCTCTCTCCCATCTGCCCCATCTTTTCCATTCCCACAGTATTCATTTTAGTTCCCCTCTATCCTTTATGCTCACCCAGGTCATTGTAAGTGCCCATTAGCTGATCTTCCTGTCTTGATTCTACCCCATCTCCAATCCATCCATCATACCTAGCCCTGTTTCAAGATTCTGATGACATCACTCACCTACTCAATAATCTTCTCTGGCTTAACCTTTCCCATACAATAAGGCATAGCTGTCACTCCTGAAAGGCAGCCTGATGTTCTTGGGGTCGGGAGGGATTTGGGTTTGAATCCCAGCTCTGATACTGATTCTCTCTGTGTCCATGGACAAGTCGCTTAATCTCTTAGAGCCTCGTGCTCCTTCATCCATGAGATCAGGATGCCTGTGGTATCTACTTCATACATGGAGTTGTTAAGGGCACATGAAATAATATATGTAAAGTACTTTGTAATTCTAAAGCAGCTCTTATTATATTATCCTGGCATTCAAGGCTCTCCAGTCCAGATCCAGCCTACCTTTATAGCTCTGTCTTATTCAGCTCTCCTTCGCATACTCTCTATTCTGTTTTGCCCCCGTGCCTCTTTGCCTTCACTATACCATCTCTCATCCCTAGAATAGACTCCTCCCATCTTTTATCTATTGAAATCCTTCCTTTCCTTTAAGGCCCAGCTCAGGAGCCATCTCCTTCATGAAGACCTGTCCATCCCTAAGCAAGCTTTCCCTCCCCAAAGTTCTCCCACAACTTTGCTCACATCCCTCCTTTGTTTGCACTTATCACCCTCTTTCTTTTAATCCCAATCATTTTACACAGTTTTTCACCAATTAATTTGGAAGATCCTTGAGAGCAGGGCCTGTCTCCCAACCACAGAGCTTCAGAGTTGAAAGGGGCCTCAGATGCCATCCACTCCAACCTGAGCAAGAGTCTTAGCTCATTATCACCTCCAGGTTCAAGTGTAAAATCCTCTGGCTTTTAAAGGCCTTTACAACCTGATGCCTTCCTGCCTTTCCAGCTTTCTTATATCTTACACATACTCTAGCATCTCTGACCTCCTTGCTAATCTTTGTATTAACACTCCATTCACCTCTATTGACTTCGTTTCCACTGGCTGTCCCCCATGCCTGGAATTCTCTCTCTCCTCATATCCCCCTCCTAGCTTTCCTGGCTTCCTTCAGGTCTCAGATAAAATCCTACATTCTGTAAGAAGTCTTTTCAAGTCCCTCTTAAAACTAGTGTTTCCCCCCCCCCGTGGATCATTTCCAATTTATCCGGTATATATCTTGTTCGTACATAGTGGCTCGCATGCTGTGTCTCCCCCATTAGCGTGCGAGGTCCTTGAGAAAAGGACTGTTTTTTGCCTTTCTTTGCATCCCCAGTGCTTAGCACACTGCCTGGCACAAAACAGGCACTAAAGAAATGCCTGTTGACTTGTCTTGACCTGACTACAAAATCTCTAGCGAGTGGTAGTAAAGCCTCATTTTGGATCGTTCCAGTGAACAAAAAGGAATCCTCTCCCAAAATGGGCCTACTACTTGGGGACCACTCCTTTGTCACTGAACCAAAGAGTTCTTCCTTTGTCAAGCCTAAATCTTCCTCTCTGCAAATTCCATCTAATTCTACCCTCTGGGCCCAAGCAAAACCAGTCTAATCCCCTTTTCCCCCATAATAATCCTCTTTTTTGGTTGGAACTAGGTTGTGAAAAGCTTTAAAAACCAAGCACAAGTTTTTATTTGATCCTAGGAGTACTAGGAAACCATTGATGTTTACTGAGGGGGGGAATGACATGGAATTGTGAATAGAACCTCATCATTCCTCAGAGAGTCCATACACTAAGGGTGTGAACACATTTCATCAGAGTAATGACCATCCTTGTCATCCTTCTTTCCCATCACCACTATCAAAGCCATTATCGACATCACCTGCTATCACCATTATCTCTACCACCATCAGCAGAGAGATGATGGAATCCCTGTAGAATTCTTGACACCATGAGAGGGTTGAGGACAAGCATTCCCTGCCCTGATGAGGCTTAGGATCTAGTACCAAGAGGGCCAAAGGAATCTGGTACCAAAATACCAAAGGCCTAGACACCTAAGAAAATACAATTGACACCTACCTTGCTGATCTCTGGGAACTTGAGCCGGGCTCCCTCCACCTCACTGAAGGCCTTGTTGATGGCAAACTGGATGGCCAAGCCTGTCATGGTGCCTGTGGATAGGGGCTCGATCTTTTGCACAGCCTGCAGGAGGCTGGCCTTGGTCCAATGAGCCTTGAGGGGGAACTCGTGCTTGACCGCACTGGCGTAGTTGATCACGCCTACCCGAGTTGTGTTGGGCCCCAAATCTAAGGACTCGATGACTTGGGACAAGAAGACCTTGACCTTTTCAAATTCCCGGGGCCGCACACTACGGGAGCTGTCGATGATGAACACCAGATCTGTGGGCCTTGTCCTGCACAGATGCCCTGTTTGTGGGAGGGGAGATGGTGAGGTGTAGGAGAAAAGGAACCAAGCAACACTTTCCGAGGCCAAGCCTGGGAAAACAGCTAGCCATTATGAAATTCAGAAGAACTCACTAGTCAGGTAAAACAGAGGCAGTAATTACCCAAGCATTTGTGGATAAGCTGTCCAGAGTATTCAGGGCCAGTTATCCATTCCTTGAATTAAACAGGTTGTTTGTCTATGCCTAACCACATATTGGTCCAAGAAGGAAAGCCTGGATGATTCCTACAGTTTGAAGAAAGTTGGGGGACTGGAACAGGGTTTCCTAAGGAATTTGCTGATTGACCTTGTTCCCTAAACACACTCAAAGGAGTGGTTTCCCCCTTCTCTCACCACTACTACTACTACTACCCAAAACTTGGTATTCAATCCATGGGGGAGGGGGGAAGTTAATGGTCAATTAGGATCCCAGCAGGGTAACCACAGATTCAAGAATCTTGGAGGATAGAGTAAGGTAAGAGGAAAAAATAAAGCCTGGGTGTAAGGAGGCTTACAGTCCTGGCTCTCCTATTAATTTGCTGTGCAACCTTAATGAAGTTCACTTCCCCCTCTCTGATCCTATTACTTCATCTGCAAAATAAAAGCTTTGTATTATCTCTAAGAGTCCTCCTGGGTCTAACATTTTATATTCATAGGTCCTTTCTAGTTCTAACTTTCTGTTAGAAAGCCTTTTCCAGACCTTTCCAGTTCTGACCTTCTGGGTTCTAAGGGCCTTCCCAGCCATGACATTATGCTCATATCCTAAAACATTCTTTTCCTGATTCCCTCAGATGTCAACCCCTCCCACGCCCCCACACCCATTACTTTGTATATAGTCTATGTTTACTTATCTGTAAACATGTAATAAACAATAGAATGTAAACTATTGGAGGGCAGATACTTTCTCACTTTTGTTTCTGTATCCCCATTCATAGCACTGTGCCTGGCACACAGTAGCACTCAACAAATCCTTGTTTATTGATTGTTATTCTGAGCTGGGTAACATATATATTTGTCTCATCCTGGAAATTGTAATGCAGATGGGAGTCCTCTGAAATACAGAGTTTGCCAGCACCAGGGGCCAACTCATTGATGCTTCTAACCTTCATTGATCCAGGAGAAGATGGAGCTTCCCTCCCCTACCTCAATGCCACCACCACCATCTAAAGACTAATTCTACAGGTCTGGTGCTTCCAAGACATCAGCTGACCACATAGATAGTACCAGAATACTGGAGTCAGGTGGGGGCAGGAATCATAGATTATAGTGGGAGGAACCTTAGAAGCCGCCCACTCCAAACTGCTCAGATGAGGAAACTGAGGCACAGAGAATTAAGCGACTTAGGATCACACTAGTGTGAGGATTTAAACTTAAGTCTTCCTGACCCCAAGTCCTAATGCCTTAGCACTATCTACCTGATCACCACACTCCCTAGTATTGTCTGCTCACTCTTTGATGAAATATTCTAAGAGAATATGTACTCATGCATTGATTCATTCAATAAACATGCAGTAAATGACTACTGTGTGCAGAGCGCTATGGTAGACAGTGAGATACAAAGACTAAATAAGATGTAATCAGAAAGAATTAGAATATACAATAGTTCATAAATGCATTAGAGAGCTACCCCAAAAAATTCAGTTCTTGAGATCTAAGGGGAAATCCCACTAACAACAAGGTATCAGGGACTACCTCCTGGAGAAGGAGGCATTTGAATTAGACTTTAAAGGTAAGGTAGGAATCCAGCAGGTAGGAAATGGGGCTGTGGGGTAGCACAGTAAGAGCATGAGAACTAGAGTTAGGAAGACCCAAGTTCAAATCTAGCCTCAAACGCTTAGAGACCCTGGACAAGTCACTTCACCCTGTTTGCCTCAGTTTCCTCATCTGTAAAATGAGCTGGAGAAGGAAATGGCAAGTCATTCCAGTATCTTTGACAATAAAACCCTAAATGGGGTCACAAAGTGTCAGACACAACTGAAAAACAATTGAACAGGAATTCAGCAGTTGAAGAGAGGGAGGGAGGGCATTGGAGGAGCAAAGAGGTAGAGAAGGAATGGAGCACATGGGAGAAAAGGCAGTTTGGTTTTGCTGTAGCAGAGACTGTGTAGAGGAGTATAATATGAGCGCAATCAATCAATAAGCATTTATTAAACACCTACATACTACAAGATAGTAGGTGCTTAGTAAAACCCTACTACTTTGAAGTTTTCAAGCAGAAGATGGGTGGCCTGTAGTTGGTATGTTAGGGTGAAGATAGAGGTCAGACTAGGTGCCCACTGAGGTCCTTTCCAACTCTCCAGTTCCGTGAGGTAAGGCAGAAGGTAGCACAAGATTATGGAGGGCCTTGAGTGTCAGGCAAAGAGCCATAGAGCTGGTAGTCATCTTAGAGGTGCCTAGATCAACCACCTCATTTTACAGATGAGGAAACTGAGGCCAAAGGAAATTAAGTGACTTGGTCAAAGTCACCCAAGCATTAGGATCATAAATCAAGAGCAGGGAAGTACCTGGGAAGCTGTCTGTTCCCACTCTCTCATTTTACAGCTAAGGAAACTGAGGCCCGAGGCAGATGAGTGACTTGCCTAAGGTCACACAGATAGTAAGCATCAGAGGTAAAATTTGAATTCAGGTCCTCTTACTTCAGACCTAGTACTTCCCCCCCCCCAACTCTGCTATGCTAAATAATGGAATCCCAGAGTTCGAAGGACCTCAGAGGGCATGTAGTTCAATGTTGACTGATGCAGGGGTTTCTGCCCCCTGCACTATCCCTGAAAGGCAATCTCTAGGCCCCAGTTGTTAGAGACAAAGAACTCGCTACTTCACAAGTCAGGCCCTCCTATTATGGGACAGCTCTGGTTGTCAGGCAGCTTTCCTTACATTAAACCCCAAATCCGACTCTTTAAATCTCCTTTCCCACCTCAACCAATTCTGCCATCTATAAGCAGAGCAAACCCCACTTAACATTGAAAACTGTTTCTGTGAAAGCCCGATGTCATGTGAGACCACATTTTTTTGAGGTCGTTTGGTCCCCTAGGAGTGGCACATATATGCAGCTGGTTCAAATCAGAGGAGTTAATGCTGTTTCCATGACCAGGGAAGAAGGGCAGGTGAGTTCGTTAGCCTGTCCTCAATAGCCTTAATGAGATTGGGTGCGAGCGCGTGCGCGCGCGCGTGTGTGTGTGTGTGTGTGTGTGTGTGTGTGTGTGTGTGTGTGTGTGTGTGTGTGCATGCTTGCACCTCCATGGGGAGGGGCGGGACTCATCTGGTGGCAGATTGCGATGGGGGGGGGTGTAGATTAAGGATGTAGAGGTGGAACAGACAGAGCATAGTAATTGACTGTCTATGAGAAATAAAGGAGACAAAGATGCAAAATTACTTTTTTTAACATGGTTTTAAACATGGGAGACCAAGGGAATGGTGGTGCTAGAGACCAAAATATCTCTAGCCCTCTCACTTGCTCCAGATTACCCTGAACTTGCAGTATACTTAACTGGTAAGCACAAAATATGGCATAATGGAGTGGACACTGACCTGGAAATCAGAAGGCCTACCCAAAATCTGTTATTCACTTCTTCTGTGACTGTGGGGAAGTCAAGTCAAGTGAACAAACATTTGTTAAACCCTAAGTACATGCCAGGCCCTGTGGCAAGTGTGGGGACCCAAATAAAATAACAACAACCACGATCGTAACTACCACCACAATAACAATTATAATAGCTAACAATCACACAGCCCCTACTATGTGCCGGGTACTATGCTAAGCTCTTAATGATTATTATCTTATTTGATCCTCACAACAGCCCTGGGAAGTAGGTGCTATTATTTTACAGATAAGGAAACTGAGGCAAATAGGGTTAAGTAATTTGCCCAAGGTCACACAGCTAGTCAGTGTCTAAGACTAGATTTGAACTCCAGTCTTCCTGACTCCCAGCCTGGAAAGACAGTCCCTGCCCTCAAAGAGCTTAATGGGGAAAGATAATAACTAAAAGAAAACTAAAAAGGGTGCAGAGAAGAAAGGTCCCCAAGTAAAGATATGTCATTGAAGTCGGGAAAATGAAAGAGGGCTGGTCTGAGCCTCTTCTCAAAATGGTGGTTCTGAGAGGAACTCACCAATGGAAAAAAGGGCTGCAGGGGGTGGAGGGAGAACGCACACTTTATCTCTCTGGGTCTCAGTTTCCTCTACTGGCAAATTGTGATATTGCTTATACTAAACTTTATATTATTATATTATATTGCTACTAGCACCATCTACCTTATTGGCATGTTAATCAATAATCAATCAACCAATAAGTATTGATTAAGCACTTACTGTGTGCTCGGTGCTGGGGCTATAGAGACAAAGAATAAAGGAGCTCCCAGTGGTCATCCAGCCTTCTTTGCACCCCTCCTGCAAAGGGGACCCTCTGCCTCTGCAGCTTATACTGCTGCACTTCGGGGCATCTCAAACTGTGAGAAAGTTTTCTTAAGAGAGGGCAAGACCTGCCTCACTCCACCTTTTCCACATGGCCCTCAGTGCAGTCATGGGGGGCCACACAGAGCAAAGCTAATCTCTCTTCCACAAGCAGCCCTCCAAATACTAGAGCATGGCCACCAGGACCCCCTTACTGAATCTTCTTCTTAGCTGAGCTCAATGGTCACACCTTCCCAGTTACCCACAAGCCTTAGTGGCCTGAACAGCCAGGTGGAGGACCTATGTCAAATCTAGAATTAACTCAGGGCTGGGTGAATGGCAGGAGAGCACAGTTGGACACCGATTTGGGGCATCAAGCAAATGCTCCCCAGATACTTCCTTCCAAGAATCAAAGCATGTGATTGAGGAGAAGTCAATGAAGCTTTTCCTGAGTGTCTACCAATGAGCCAAGGCAAAGGAAAGAGTGCGAATTCCCAGCACCTGCTGCTCTCTTTGTGTGCCCATTCTTGCCTCTTCCACTGTCCCTGACATTGCCCTTTTCCCTGTCCACTTCTCTACCCCCATCATTGTACCTGCTCCCATCTATTTCCTCTTATCCCTGTCTCTATCACTAGCTTTGTATATCCCTTTTGCCCTGACCCTCTCCTGGTCCCTGCTCCCTCCCTTGTCCCTGCTCCCTCCCTGCCTCTATCCCTACCCATGCCCTTGCTTCTGCTCTGGTGTCTTTCCTATCCACCACACCCCCATATCTCTACTATCTGTGTGACCTTCAGCAACTCATTCAATCTATCAGGGCCTCAGTTTCCTCATCTGTAAAATAAGGGGATTGGATTAAATGAACTCAGAATCCCTTCCAGCTCTAAATCTATAATGCTGTGACTTGATTCTTGCTTTTGACCCCTGCCCCCTCTCTCTGTCTGTCCCTGCTCCTTCCCCTCTCTCTGCCTCTTTTGGTACCCTATCCCTGAGCCCATCTTAGTCTCTATCCCCAACTCAGCCATTGTCCCTGGCTTAGATAAAACAATCAACCAATCAATAGGCATTTATTAAGCACCTACTATGTGTCAGGCTCTGACCCCATCCCTGCCCCATCTCTTACTTTGTTCCTGCTCCTCAACCTGCCCCAACCTCCACCCTAGTCCCTATCCTTGTTTCCACTCCTTCCCCCTCTGCCAGGCGGTGCACTGGCCTTAGAAGTCAGGAAGACCTGAGTTCCAATCCTGCTTCAGTGACTTACTATCTACATGAGTTTGGACAAGTTACCAACCCCTTCCCGGAGTCAGTTTCCTCATAAAAAATGGAGACAATAAGTTACCTCTTCACAAACTTCTTGTGAAGCCCAAATGAGACAAAGTATGATGTACTTCGCAGACCTTAAAGTGCCGAATCAATGCTAGCTATCTGTATAATTATTGTTATTATTTATTCTGTCCCTGCCCCATCTCTGCTTCTGATTCTGTCCCTGCTCCCTCCCTATGCCCTGGACCCTGTCCCTGCCTCCCTATCTCTGCCCTGATCCCTCTTGATGTACCATATCTCCAAGAACCCCTTCTCCCCAGCAGGGCTCCCTGAGCCTGGATGACTGCAAGCCTGTGCCTTAAAGGCAGCCCACTCTCTCTCCAAGGAGGCAGCTCTTTTCAGTGATCCTGGACTCCCTTGCATCCTAAGGCACCTAAGCCTTCCGACCCACTCCAGGGGCAGATGCTGAGCCATCCCTTACCTCTGACCTGTGGGGGTACCCTCTGAGCCCCGGACTTCTGGAGAAGAACCAGCAGGCTGAAGAGCAGGAAAGCAGAGGAGAAGGTCCCCATCATGTTCCGTGAAGGCTGGAGGCAGACACCAGAGTGTCCCCAGAGCAGCTGGAGCAGAAGTAATAACCTGAGGGCCGCCCCCCTCCAGAGGCCAGGATGAGGCCCCTGACTGACATGGGGCAAGGAGGGGGGTGAGGGCGCTGAATGGATATGTGTGTGGTGGGGGGCAGGGGAGGGGGAGGGAGAAGGAGGAAACAGGTTGGCATCCAAGCTGCTCGATCTTGCCCTGCCCTGCCTGCCCACAAGGGCCCCATTGCTTGCAAAGGCAGCCAGTGATTTGACTGGAATGCAGGGAATCTTAGTAAATCCCATCAGGGACCAGGTAAGTGGAGGGGGGGAGAGAAGAGGAAGGGAGGGAGAGGGAGCAAAAAGATGGGAGGAGGGAAGGGATGGACTGATGACTTGGTTGGGATTGGGGGTGGGGGAGGAGCTTAGATGTACTCTACCTAAAGTTTCCTGAGTAGCCAATGGGCGCAGGCAAGTGGGGTAGCCTTCCTCAAGGTGAAAGTCACTTTTGACTATGGTCTCATACCATCATCATCATCTCTCCTGTATGTTTCAGTCAAGGATTTCCTTTGCCTTGGTGTTTAAACTTTAGTATTCAGTGATTTCTTAGTTTGGGAATATATTAGCATTTCTATAGGGCTTTATAGAAATCCTCTTTTTGGATCTTTACTGCAAGCCCATGGGATAGCTAGGCAGGAAGAAATATCCCCATTTTCCAAGAGGGGGAAATTAGCTAGGGAAGCTCAAACAACCATATTCAAAAGCAGGCTTCATAACTAAAATCCAGCGTCTAGAACCAAGAAGCTGACAGTCCCACTATCTTTAACCTTGGTCAGGCAACCTAAAGGGCATTCACTGTATTCAGTCCTGGGCACCAGTATGAGAAAGGATGTGAAGAGACCAGAGACCAAGGAACTGGGGGATGGCTTTGGGGAACACTGGATCACGGTCTCCAGAGAGTCAAAGGGCTGTCTGGCATCATAGAAGTAGAGCTGGAAAAAAAAATCATAGAAGCAACCATCCAGAGCTAGAAGGCCACATAGTCCTGTCCCCTATTTGACAGAAAAGGAAACTGAGGAACAGGGAGGTTTAAATGACTTGCCCAAGATCACACAATCAAAATCACAGGTAGTAAGTGGCAAGATTCAAACCTAGTGTTACTTCTGCTACAATGTGGTAAAAGTCAGGTCAGTAAGCATTTATTTACATGTATTATATTTATACATAATATTATATATTATATTGTTTATATTTATTATGTTTATTAAGTGTTATCTATATTCCAGGCACTTTATTAGACCCTGGGAATACAGAGACAAAAATTAAACAGTCTCTGCTCTCAAAGAGTTTGTGTTCTGTGGGGAGAGACAAATACACATATAGAGACATATGTAAAATATATAGGTTGGGTAACTGGGGGAGAGGGAAGGCCACAGTAGTTTAAGGGAATCAGGAAAGGCTTCACACAGGAGGTGACGTTTGGAAGGAATCATAAAGAAAACTAGGGATTCTAAGAAGTGAAGGGAACAAGGGAGTGCGCTTTAGGCATGGGGGAGAGACAGCCTGGACAAAGATTTAGAGATCACAGGCTCATGAGGTTAGGGCTAGAGAGGACCATGGGGACCATCTCGTCCATATCCGAGTTTAACAGATGAGGAAACTGAGGCCTGAGGAGGTTAGGTACTTGCCCAAGGTCACCCAGATTGTGTAGCATCATAGGCAGGATTTCAGCTCAAGTCTCTGATTCCAGAGCCAGGGCTTATTGGAGTGATGGGATATAGAATATCATGTAGAATGGGCCATAGGTCACAAAGTGTACAAGGAATGAATGAATCTATGGCGTGGGCACTGCATCCACCAGGATCACAGCCCATTCATGCCTTCTCATTCTGTGTGTTTTGTGTCCTTTCCCTTTACTAAATGATCTGTACACATCCTACCCATCTAGTAGAAGTCAACTTCTAGATCTGGGTAATGATGGTCTAGAACTTGAGTAGCCCATCAGCCATCTCTCATTCTCACTCCATAACCATCGCACTTCCTTTCCTGGTCCTATGTGCCACTGGTGGCATCTTCTATGCCACTTACCACACAAGTCATGGTGCCAACTTATACTCACTAGTCTATTAGTAGACTGACATATTCTACTGTCTGTTGAGTCACCTGCAATTTTAATTTTTTTTTTGAGATTATGATCTTTCATGATTCACAGCTTTTTAGCATCACTGGGAGAAAATAAGCATTAAAAAAATAAACTTTTTCAGCAGCAAGCAATTTGTAGTGACTGTTCTGCCTGATTTCCCATGCAAATTCCAGCCCACTTTCCTCCTCCTCCTATCCACTTCCATATATGTAGGCAGCTAAGGGACATAGCAGAAAGAGAACTGAGCCTGGATTCTGGAAGACTTGACTTCAAATCTTGTTTCAGACACTATTGTGACCCTAGGCAAGTCACCTAACCCCTCTATTTCCTTGAAAATTAAATGAGATAACATTTGTAAAGCTCTTAGAACAGTCCCTGACACATAATAGGCAATTAATAAATGCACTAATGGACTAACTGTCCAATTGCATATCGTAATCAGAACAATTGACAATTTTTATCCACTTTGTTTTTCTTTTGTGGCTTATTGGGGCTGAAAAAGTAATCTCAGATTTCACTGAATGTTCTAAAATGTGGTACAATCAACACAAAGTCATCTGCAAATTGGAGTTTCTGGGTGAGCTTGCTATCCATAGGAAACATCTCTTATTTATTTAGGTCATCCTTCACGTCATAAGCAACTATTTTTGGTAAGCATGCGATTTCCTGTTTTATGTCCAATTGTCATTTATAATCAGAGTACTGTCAAACTAGTTTATCTTTATGATTTCATCATTCAAGGGATCATTTCCTTATCATGTCTGGGTTAAACACCTTTTCAGAAACAACAAACAACAAACAAAAGAATCTTGTATTTTCTACATCTCTCAAGTAGTTATGAGACTGTGAAGATGGAGTCTAGTATTAAAAAATCATCCATGAAAGCTTATTTGTAGTTGCTGAGTGGATTTGAATGCAATGCTCTTTCTACTACAATGTAGAACAAGTGTCATTGGGGGGAAAATTACAGGAAAACAGATTCGAACTCAACACAAAGTCACCTGAAAATAAGAGTTTGTGAAGTATCTTATTGTCCATAACTATCCACCATTACCTTTATTTGCTTCTCATGCTTTCATCAAGGATTCCCTTGATCTATTCCTAGACCATAAATAAAGCTTTCAAAGCTTTCAAAGAACAAGCAACATAGGTTTTGACCCCATTGTTGATGTCATCTTCTTTGTCATTTCTTATTTGCAATGATATTATCTATGATATCTTTCATTCTTTGGAAATTGTCCCTTCTTTGAAATATCTTGAAGATTAATCTCTAAACGCTTTAAAATGACAGTGTCTCCAGTGCAGATTTCTTCTGCATAGCTTTGGTCAGATGCAATTGGCTCTTTCCAGCTTTAAAATTTGAAGGGCTCTCAGGTACCATTTATTCCAACCTTTTCATTTTACAGATGAGGAAACTGAGATCAAGAGTGGTTTCACCTTTTTAAAGATGATTTTGTTGGTGCTACTTCTTTTTTCTATAGTATTGGCTATTCCCAATGACTCTCTCCACACCAATTGAGCCTACTCTTCACTCTCCTTTTAACAAATAAGCATAGCCAATGATCAAAGACAATTCCAAAGGACTCAGGATGAGATGAACTCTGAACACAGATTGAAGCATACTTTTTTCACTTCCTTCATGTTTCTTGCTTTTTATGGGGGGTTTTTGTAATGTGGCCAATATGGAAATATTTTTGCATGATTTGACATGTATAATTGATATCATATTGCTTTTCTTCTCAATGGGAGGGGGAGGGATGGAAAGGAGAGAGGGAATTTGGAATTTAAAAAAATTTAAATGTTAAAAATAAAGAAAAAGAAATAAATAAGTATAGTCAGGTAAAACAAATCGAAATATTGGCCCTTTTCCCTCCTCCCTTTCTTGCAGTGAGATCAGTAGGTCAAGGGGTGTGGAGGGGGAGCTAAAAACTACCACCAGGAAGTGTTAATGGGTGTCTTAGAAGAGAAGCACATGGCAGAGACAGATATGCCCTCACGCATAGAGTGAATGGAAGGTTCTTAGATAATGCTAGAAGCTCCTAATCCTGTATGGGAGCTGTGAAGAGGGGAATCATCTGACCAAGTAGTAAAAGTTGTTCAGGGTTTCCTCTCTACCAGTCCCAAATTTGACAGTCCCAGAATGTAGCCTTCCATCCAAAGGAGAAATATCATGAAAAATACCAATATTGGAGAATACCCTACATGGAACTCCAGATTCAAGAGTTTTGGAATCTGACCTTTTTTCCAAAAGAAGGGGAGTTGCCTAAGTGGCAAGCCTTTTGGAGAGGGGAGCATATCATGCGTGGAGTCTCTGGTACTGGGAGGAGCTGTCTATCATAAGAGACTAAAACCCCAACAGAGAGAAGCAAGGGATTTAGATCTTTCCCTTTATTGTCAATTTGAGCCTTTGAGATGATATGAGTCTGGTGGGAAGAGGAACTGCCTTTCTAGTAGAAGTAACTTCCCTTTCAGAGGAGTCCAGGATGGAGTGTCATAAGGCTGAATGTCTGCTAAGCAAAAGAGGAACCCACTAGAATATCGAGGCGTTGACTTTCTAGCAGCTGCAAATTTGTTTCCCTTTGGAAGGGGGTGGGGAAAGGTTCAAAACACAGAGTTTTGTTGAGTTTGGAGAACTCTAAGACCCTGATATAAAATGGAGATATCACCAGACAGGGAAAAAGCGTGTTGATTATTTATAGAGAACTAAGTCTTTTATTTGTTTTCTGCATTTATTTATGGGCCCCTGTGAGTCCTTTGTGTTTTCTGCATTTTCTGTCAGATAAAATAACCCACCCACCCCCAGAACTGATATATTTGCATTGTTACATTGAGTATTTCCATTAATTCTAGCAGGAGCCTTTCACCTTCATTTGTGGGTACAGGCTGTTTTTGGAAATTTTCCTAGAGAAAACCCCAGGTAGAAGCATAAGCAAAGAGTCAGAGTTCTGATATTTTTTGGA